CCTGTTCATCATGCAAAAGGAGGGGACATCTATCGGCAGTATGTAAACGAAGCCAACGGCAGGATCACGTGCAGCACCTCGACGACGGCGAAGATGACGGCAGCGAAGAAGAGGGGAAGTACGATTTCCTCACTATGGACGCAGATTGCGGCGCGAGAAATACGAATGTCGGTAACGTAGATATTGATTGTACTATTGAAGCGAATTAATATGGAAATCGATACGGGAACTTACATGTCTATTATTTCTCGAGAAACAAAGAATCGATTATTCCCATTTTCGAAAGTAAAGGCAATAAATAGAAAGTTAAATGCATACGGTAAAATTCCGCTAGCTCAAGACGGATTATTAGATAAGTTGGAAGTCGAGTATAAAGATGTAAAAGCAACATTGAGCATGGTTGTGATGTCGAGACCGGGACCAACATTAATAGGACGTCAATGGTTAAAAATTTTGGGGTTATGGCCGTTAAAACATTTAAATGACTCAGCAAACGAGATTGATAAGTGCCATAAAATCGATAATGCTGACGTTGTAAAAGAATTCAAAAGTGAATTCCCGCGATTGTTCGGTCCCAGGAATTTATAATAAAGGAATGCTCAAAATCGTATTGAAGGATAGTGCAGTACCGGTATCGTTAAAGGCTAGGAGACTACCATTTGCATTAATGAAAAAAGTAGAAACTGAGATAAATCGGTTGGTAAAATTAAAGCACCTCGAAAAAATCGATATTAGTGAATGGTCGACACCGATCGTGCCGGTTATTAAAAAAGACGGATCAGTAAGAATTTGCGGTAATTTCAAGCTGACGATAAATCCATATGTAGTAATCGATCGTCATCCGATTCCGTTAATAGACGAAATTTTCGCTGCGCTTAGCGGAGGAACGAAGTTTTCGCAAATCGATTTAGAACATGCGTATATGCAAATACCCGTCGAAGAAAGTTCGAGAGATTATTTAACCATCGTCACGCACAAAGGGTTGTTTAGGTACACAAAGATGACCGAGGGAATCGCGTCGGGACCTGGCGACTTTCAGCGCAAGATTGAGCAATGCCTTGCCGGTCTTAATAATGTAATTCCATACCTCGATAATATATATTGTACTGGGAAAAATGACGATGAACACTTGCAAACGTTACGCGGAGTATTCAAGCGACTCGAAGATAGTGGATTAAGAGTAAACATAAACAAATGTGATTTTTTTAAAGAGCGCTTGGACATTCTTGGTTTTGTAATCGATAAAAACGGGCTGCATAAAGCGTTCAGTAAAGTTAAAGCTATCATTGAGGCACCAAAGCCAATAAATCTAAAGCAATTGCAATCGTTCATTGGTCTCGTTACGTATTACGCTAGATTTTTGCCGGACAGAGCAGAAAAATTAAAAGCACTTTACGAGTGTACGAAGAGGGATAAATTAAAATGGTCAAACGAATGCGACATTGCGTTTAAATGGGTAAAGAAAGAACTGACGTCATCGAGAGTTTTAGCGCATTATGACCGAAACGAAGATATAGTATTAGCATGCGATGCGTCGTCATATGGGCTTTCGGCAATACTATCTCACAAGTATAAGGATGGCTCAGAAAAACCAATTGCGTTCGCGTCGAAAGTAATCCCTGAAAAAGTTGCATCGAGCACCAATTGACAAGGAAGCCAGTGCGATCATATTCGGATTTAAAAAATTCTATAACTATATCTATGGAAAAGAAATCATTCTCAGAACTGACCACAAGCCATTAATCTTTATTTTTGGACCAAAGCAAGAAATTCCACTTACTATAGCTAGTAGATTGCAAAGGTGGTCGTATTTTCTATCTCGATTCTCTTATAAGATTGAGTATATTAGATCGGAACAGAATGGTAACTGTGATGCGCACTGTCGAGACTTCCCGTCAAGGATGCAACGCCAATCTTCGGGAACGAATACACTGCGATGAATTATGTAAGCGAAATGTTACAAACACTAAATGCGGTGGAAATTGCGAAGGAAACGAAACGTGATAAAGTGTTGAATAAAATTGTAAGATATGCGATTGATCAATGGCCAAAAGTGAACGAGTTAAGTGAGTATGAACAAAAGTTTCATGCTAAAGTGAAGAGTTGTTCGTGGAAAAAGGATGCCTTTTCTGGGGATATAGAATCGTAATCCCAGAATCAGTGAAAAGTTTAGTGTTGCGAGAATTACACGCGTCTCACTTTGGAACTGTAAGAATGAAAATGATAGCGAGGTCATACGTCTGGTGGCCAGGCATCGATGGCGAAATTGAGCAAATTACAGCATCTTGCTTAGCGTGCGGACAAGAACAGAAAAAGCCATCGAGTGTACCATTAACACCATGGCCATGGCCAGACAAGTTTTGGAGTAGGATTCACAGCGACTTTCTTGGTCCATTTCATGGTCATATGTTTATGATCGTTATCGACGCTCATGCGAAATGGCCAGAAGTTATCGATATGCGAAAATGTACGACGTCGACAGAAGTAATTAAAGTATTTCGAAAATGGTTTGTTCGATTTGGATTACTCTAGCCTTGAGTTCAAAGAGTTCACTGAATGTAATGGAATAAAACATAGCTTTTCAGCACCTCATCATCCTGCGACGAATGGGGCAGCTGAAAACTTTGTTCAAACGTTTAAAGATAAAGTTACGAAAATTATGAAAAGCGGAAGAAATCTCGAGGAAGCAATAGATATATTTTTGTTCGATTACAGAGCGACCGAACACTGCACGACCGGTAGAAGTCCCGCCTATCTCGCGTATAAGCACGAGCTTAGAACTAGATTTGATCTACTTCGACCTGACGTAGGCGAGACGGTCGACAAAAAACAGACTGCGCAAATAATTGGCAAAAGAGGAAAGCGAAAAGTAGACTTTAGAGTAGGAGACGTTGTCCTTGTAGATGATTTCAGCGTGCGCAATGAAAAACGTATTAAGGGTAAAATAATTGAGAAATTATCCCCAGTAACGTTTAACGTGGAGATTGCGCCCGGTGAAATCTGGAAGCGTCACGTCGACCAGATCGTTCGTTACATAGAGAAAAGCGATGTAAATGGAAATATATCTACAATCAAGGAAGACACGTTGTGTCTTCGCCTAACTTGTGTTCTGGTATTCATCATAGACTTCTATAGACGGAGCATTAGCTACGACTCTGGACAAGAGGGGTCTGATATTCGGGGCGCGGGAGGCACTCATCTGACATCGACTCTTTCCGGTGAGATTCGGTAATATTCGGTTCACATTTCCAATACGTGTGCACACGTATATACGGCGCGTTGCTTGTGTGCGAGCGTGCGCGCGCGCGTGGCCGAACGAATTGGAGGGGACGTGTGCACACGTATTGGAAATGTGAACCGAATATTACCGAATCTCACCGGAAAGAGTCGAAGTCAGACGAGTAATCCCCTTACCGCGATTATCAGTTACCCCTCGTACAAAAAGTCCGTTTATAGAAGTCTATGGTATTCATACATACGCGGCGTGCGCCAGTTGCCTAGTAGCCGCCGAGCCGATCACTACTATTTCTAAATATATACATTCGTTTGGTTGTTAATTAAGTCTTGTTACTTAACCACTCGATCCCAGGACATAACAGAATGTATACAGAGATATAATGAAATACAATTTTGCAATAACCCAGCAGGGTTGAAAAGTAACTCGTTACTTGTAACGAAGTTACAGTTACAGTTACTTCTTTTTGGCAACTCTAACTTAACTTCGTTACTTTTTCTCCATCTGTAACTGTAACTTAACTTAGTTACATTTTTTCGATAACTAGTAACTAATTTAATAGTTACATTAATAGTTACTTTATATATTTTTTAAACCTTCACTTAATCGCATAGGTCTTGCTTTTGCGTATGTGCTTCCCTAGAAGAACAATTCATTGGCTAATATTGGTTAAACATTGGTTATGTTGGCAGTGAATTAGCCAATATTTCCCCAATATTGGTCATAAAATAAATGCAAATATACTACTGATATTGTACCTAGATGATGATTTAATATTGGATTGATTGTATTAGCAAGATTGTCCAATAAAATTGTAATATTCGATATAAAATAAATGCTAATGTAACGCCGATGTTACGTATTAATAATTGCACGGTACTGTGTTTATATTGAAAGTACAATGCAAAAATATGAGGCCCTCCACCACCCCCGCCAATTTCGATTGGCGGTCCTCTTTCTTTTACAATAATCATTTTCTTTTGACATGTTTATCATTATTATATTTTTATCACAATTTTATATTATAATATATTATAATATAAAACATGTAGCTATGTCTACTCTTTAAAAGTCAATCAGTGGATTATGACAGAAAACAGTGAATACCTACTGATTCACAGTTACAAGTATACCACTGAATAATTCAATAGTTATAACCATTTTCAGTAATAATTCACTGATTGACTTTTAGAGAGTAATATGTAACATTGTTTATAAATGTGCAAATAAAAATCGTATTGTAAATGCTCAAACGAAAATCTATCGCATAAGAGATTATTTTAGACCAACTTAAAATTTCATACAATAATAAAGTTAATCTAAAGAGGCCCTCCGCCGCCCCCGCTGATTCCAATCAGCGG